ACTCTATAACAATCGTAGCATACTTCCTAGAATACAAATAAATATCAAATTAGACGTTAATTAATATAGATATTCTTTTTACCTCAGAAATAAATAATTCCGCGCGGATACGAGTTCATCCATCCAAAGGTTACGATGGTGAAAAGCAAGTGATTGACTTTGCTGACCGTCGGCTATGTAGAAAGTTTCATGTCCGGTATTCGTGCTCAAAGTAGTTGTAATGTCAAATTCGCCTATATTGCATAAACTTCATGCACGCATCATGTCGCACAAGGTCCGTTACTTCACTACAAACCACCAAAGACAGTATTGTGTAGATCGTTTTTGAAGTAATTTCAATAATCCAGACATAATCCGAAGGCAGTATGTGATTACTATTTTGAATCATTACAAACAACATCTATTAAACATTCCATATGCATATAACGAATCGAATTAAAATTTACCTTATAGGAATCAAATAATTCGTCATTCTATCCATCTCCTATCGTCTTGAATATCGCTTTTGTCATCGGTTTTAAGCAAACCGTTATCTGTTATATCATGGTACTATAATTTTCTCTCTTGTACGTTTCTCAACTTGTGAATTGCTTTCCATTGCCCGCTGTATTTACTTGAATCGATCCGAAGATTTCATTGAGAGTAGTGGACCTTTTAAAAATGTTGAAAAGTCAATCTCATCTTCTTTCTCATATGACTTTAATCCAGAGAATTGTTGACGTTAGCCCAATCAAGAGATCTTGGAGCCTTACGCTCAAAACAGAACGTAATTATGCGAGGTATCAACTGCTGTACATCCTAGACATAATATCCATAATCATAAATCCAAACATTCGTAACAAAAATATCAGGATGTTATCACAGCTTCGTGTCGCACCCTTAGTTGGCGTATGTTTTATCGACCCGATCGCGATAAAACCCTTCTGGATGTAGTGCTATAACTTATGAAATCAAACATTATGATAAGAAGAGTGATCATAAGCGTGACACGCTCACAATTATATAGTTACCTTGTCGTAATGTAGCGAATCTCGTCTCATTTGTTATCCTAAGTAGAATCAATTCAACAGTAATGCCGTATGGAGTAAGTAGGCCCAATAAACTTAAATTTCTTCTTAAACTTGATACTATCCCATTCTCGTTTGCTGTTTGTTCGAATTTGTGACTTCTTGTATCGGATAATTCTCATGTCTGTATCTTGAGTATGTCAGAGCGTCCATCACCAACCAAGCGATAGTCATCTTCTTACGTGGATGGTAAGTCTTTATCATCTATTACGACGGACCGTCTCTTCAGTGTATCTTCTGCTGCTTATTGTGCGCCGGGAGTGAGTATTCTGATACACTCACTTATAGAACTGTCCTCATTATCTTCTGTGCGCACTTAGCAAAGGGTTTTTGGTTGACCCGAACTTCTATTAGTATAACACTTGTGCAGTCGAACATCTTCCAAATCAGGAACATTAGCGGCCACTAGGTATGGAATGTTTGCTAAGGCAGATTTGCAATTAGGTCAAGCACGATTAAGAAGTATCTTCAATTGGTGGTATCATACACAAACTATCATAGCAAGTATAAAGAACAGCATCACTCAGTTGTTTGTGTGTTCGCAAGCTTTTTTTGAGAATTACCGACAAGTCAGCACACACCAAGGTAGAAACTTGGGATCCAAGCTTTCCAATTAACTTTACTCAGCACGAAAATCTTAAACTTTAGTATGCAGGTACTGTAGTATATTTGCGTCACACATAAGATCAACAATCGACAACATCAAGTAATGTAGTTAATTTGTCCTCAGGCCTTACATCAGACTATGAGAAACTTTATGAAAGCCGGATATTTCAATTCATGTCGGAAAAGAGCCAAATAACAAGATATTTTTCGTCATACGCTAGTATTGTGTACACGAAATCTATTCTCCGAGAATAGCTTAAGCAGAAATACAGAGAAAAGGTTGTTATGACGTTGGAAGACATGTCGCCTGATGTTTTCGAAGGTAAATTTTGTATTTTAAAACCATATTAATGTGAGAAACATATCTAAATGTCTTGCTCATTATATCAACACTAAAGCTCACCACACGTTAAATATGAATTGCTTCTATTACTATAGGTTTTCTATGATTCAAGCAGTTGCACAGGTTGGATTAGTCTTCTGGATGGAGCTGGCAAGTTTGAAATGTTTGATCTTCTCATTGCAATTGAAGCTTATTTGATTGAGAAACAAAAGGAATGGATTCATCAGAATATCATCACAGTTTACAAGTATGCTCTCTCTACTACTTCATTGAAAGGGCTTCTGGATTATTGCAATAGAATTATGGTTTCACACCCAAATCTTGTGTTTAAATTAGTTGATTTTGTGACTTGTCAAAGGAGACCTTGATCAATATTCTCAAAAATGATCATCTCAGCATAGAAGAAGTGATATTTGGATGTCAGTTGTGCAAGGGCAACTAAACAAGTGTCTGAACTAGAACTTGGTAATGATGTAGGGCAATTGGTCATCCCATGACATCAACATATTGAAAGACATTATAGCAGATTTTACACCTCACATAAGATTTTTCAATATATCCTCTGAAACTGTTCTTTTATTTGATGATTTATTGCCAAGAAAGTTGCGTCATGATATACTTAATTATCATATAAAAGGATTAATCCCAACACCACATATGCAATGCTCTTGCCAAGAACAGGACAAAAGGGTAATATTGATGTAGTTGTTAAAAAATAAAAAGGTGGTTGAATTATTTCAAAAAGCTGCTGAGCAAGGACATGCTTCTGCACAGAATAGGCTTGGGTGCTTCTATGAAAATGGAATTGGTGTAGTAGTAGAGAAAGATATTGAAACGCCAGTTGAGTTATTTCAAAAAGCAGCTGAACAAGGATATGCTCCTGCATATGCACAGAATAATCTTGGTCTTTGCTGTAAAAATGGAATTGTTGTAGAGAAAGATGCTAAAAAGTCAGTCGAATTGTTTCAAAAAGCAGCTGAATGTGGACATGCTGATGCACAGGATAATCTTGGTTTTAGTGGAAATAACATAATTATGTTATTTCCGGTTATGACGTGTGGATTATAAAACTCAAGTCATTCGAGTGATGGGCGGATCATAAAACTTAAGTCATTCAAGTGACGTGTAAATTACAAAATTCAAGTAATTGAGTGATGGATAGATCGCAAAATTCAAGTCACTTGACCAATGATATATCCCCAAGTGTAACATGTAGATTGCAACATACCACATACTCTTTAGAAAGTCAAATTCGATATCGGTAATGTTTTAATCCACTTACAGTGGTGTTCAAAAAAAATGGCACAAAATGTAGAAATAATCTGCATATGTGTAACTCGATCAATTTTCAAAATAAACGCGCAATAAATGGATCAAAATAAAGCTTATGTAATGGACTATCATTTCCAAACAGACTTATTTTCAACTTACTTCGCGCTTTATCGAAAATAAACATGTAAAATGTCGCAATCCATTAACGAAAGACAACGACAAACGATATTACATTATTGGGAGAAGGGAATACGTGAAGCCCCAAAAATACAATCATTGACCAAGATTCCAATGAGAACAATCTATTACAATCTAAAAAAAAATAAGAGAAAAAGGAGATGTAAAGCACAGAGGGGGGAATGGCCGTAAAAAAATTATAACTAATACCGATGCTTGTAGAATTGGCCAGTACATTCGAAGAAACCTGACCATTTCTACTAAATTAATTGCAAGTAAATTGAAAGAGGAAGGAACTTTAGTCTCCCGCATAACTGTAGGACGGCATTTGGCTGAACATGACTACAAAAACAACCTTCCTCTTGCTACCCCCATGCTAACAGAGGCTCATAAAGAAAATCGAGTAAAATGGGCCAAAAAACACATGAATGACAATTGGAAACGGACGATTTTTACTGATGAAACATCCTTCCAATTGTTTCGAAACACAATCAAACATTGGCATAAGGGTGCAAGGCCAATACGCCCAATGCCGAAAGATCGACATAAAATTATGGCATGGGGTGGTTTCTGTGCAAAGGGAAGACCAGTCTCTTTTGCTTTAGTCATATTATGGATGCAAATTTCTATGTTGGAATATTAGAACAACACCTTCCGGAGATAAGAGGACTGTTGGGAGACAGATGGCGCTTCCAACAGGATAATGATCCTAAGCATACCTCGCGTACTGCAAAGGAATTCCTTCAAAATAATGTTCCAATGGTTTTGGACTGGCCCTCCAACAGTCCTGACCTTAATCCTATTGAAAACCTTTGGAACATTGTTAAAACAAATGTGAAAAGGCATAAACCAAAAAACTGTAAGGAATTGGAACAGTTTATGACTGAAGAGTGGAACAATATTCCAAATGCCGTCCTAATTAATTTAATAGATTTGATGAAACGTCGATGTCAACTAATTATAAAAAATAATGGTGATCATATCTCGTATTAAATAATAAATCAATAACAAGCGCCTTCTAAGCTTTCAAATAAAGTTTAAATCATATGATTTAGAGCGATGTGTGATGAGTTAGAAGGAAATTCGTTTGTGCCATTTTTTTTGAACACCACTGTATTAATCAGATCACGGGAAATTTTGACGCACCTTTAGCGTTCACTCGTAGGTGCAACCAATAAAGAACGCAAAAGAGGGAAATTCAAAATTTTACTATAATAACTAGCTTTTGACTTCTAAGTAAAAATGTTCAGCATGAAATATATTAAATGTCAATGACTTAATTAAAATTTGTTATTAATTTGATGATTTCATCCCCGCTTTAGTAATTCAGGCAAAGCAAGCGTCATGGTTTAAGATTTCATCGCTGAATAGAGCATACTGGGTCTCATTCGTGATCGAATTAAAATATTAACCCCCTACAGAGTTCTCATTGGGTAACTTAAGTGAAGGGGTTTGTGAAGTTAAAGGTTGATAGTTTTCACTTTTCCTGATAAAGTAAAACTGACTGCTGAACTTCATATAAGTCGATGGTAATATTAGTAACTATCAATGCAAGGAGGAGGTGCTAATGGAAGATATCCAATGGCAGGAACCGGCGGCTCGTAAAACACGTCGCGAACGGGAATGTTGATTAAATAGATTGGGTTGTTTAGAGCATTACAACCATTAGCGACAGTAGCAGATCCGTCTTTGTTGACAAGTTTGGCAATCTTCCTCGAAATGATACCAAGAACTTTATCTGTTTGTCTTATCTTGGAAGTGGTGCTGAAGGTT